GGTCCCTGTCCCTTTAAGGCTTCCAAAAAGCACTGGCCAAAAAAAAAAAAAGAAAAGACTGCTCCCGTTTCTTTGTTCTCTGGCGTCAGCCTCAGGCACCCGCTCACCGGTCCTGCCGCCCTGTTTCCCTAGTATCCAGGACCCTACGCATGCACTGTGTCTGTGCTCTGGTCCAGAATCCTGGGGCTGGGTGTTCAGCAGTCCTGGGCTCCCTCCCTGCTGACTCCTCTCCTCCTGCTGGGGGATGGGGGGAGGGGGCGCTCGGGTCCCGCCAGGCCGGGGCTTGTATCTTACCCCCTTCACGAGGCGCTGGGTTCTCACAGGAGTGGATGTGGTCTGGATGTTTTCCTGTGTCCTCTGGTCTCTATTTTAGAAAGAGTTGTCTTTGTTATATTTTCATAGATAAATGTGGTTTTGGGAGGAGATTTCTGCTGCTCTACTCATGCTGCCATCTTGGCTCTGCCCCTTGTGTAGCTTTTTAATCTTGCACAACTCTGATAATCTTTCATTGCTTGAGTTTACTTGGTATTGATATAATGATTAAGTGCATTTGTGTATGATTGAACTTGGTCAATGTTTGGAGCATACTAAGTATATAGTGAATATTATAATTTGCCGGAAAACTCAAATTGCTTTTAGTTAAAAGACAATACTTTAGTTATGAGCATACTGCTAAAAAAGCCAAAATTTCCTAAAATCACATGAACCCATAATGTAATAAAATTTGATGAAAATCAGAAATGGTTGAATAAATTGCCCCAAAGTCATACACTTCATACATGGCAAGACAAGATTATGACCCAGTTATTTTGGATCCACTAGAATTTACTCCCTTTTAAAACAAATGTATTTTCACACTTCTATTTTTCAGGAATGTATTAATTAATATTGGTTGCATGCTCTGAGTTCTCATAGCACTTGTTCCTGATGGTGTAAGCATTTATTTATGTGTATGCTTTTCATGTTTACTTTTAGGAACTTGAGGGAATACTTTTTTTTTTCTGTATCCTTAGTCCCTAGCCTAGTATTTGATACAGGGTAAATGTTCAATAAATGATCACTGATTGAAAAAGTTTCTAATATTTTATCCTTTTAAATATAATTTTAAGTATCTGTGCTTCATCTTTCAACTTGCCAATTTCTCTATCCACATCATTCACTAAAATTCTGGTGAGAGGCTTTACCTCCTAAAAGTTGGAGAGGGACTGGAGCAGTGGTTAGGTGCATACACATTTCACCACCAAACTATTGGGATTCAAGTTCCAAATCTTCAAGTCTGAGCCATGGAACTTTGGGAAAATTACTTGGAATCCTAGTCCTAGTTTTTTCATCTGTAAAATGGGCATAAAATCCACTTTATAGGGTTGTTATCAGGATAAATAATATAAATAAAATACACAGGCCAGTGCCTGGCATGTAATAATAGGTTTAAAAGGCAATTTTTGTTATTTTCTGCTTTGGTTTTCTTTTGCATATTCTGTAAGACCATTACAGCTGATGTCTGAGGGACTGATTTTCCAGTCCTATGTAGATTACACTCTTAATTTTTACTTTCTCATATTATTTTGACTGAAAATCTATTTGGGGATCTGTGGTACAAACCACTCAGCATGATACGTCATGTAAAACAACTCCTGATAGTTCCTACCTTTGCCTGTGACTTTTGCCCTTATTCACTCATATCCTAAGTTTTGAAATCTGTAACTGCCCTCTGGTGTCACTAAGAAATTACATAGTCATTCAGTCGCAAAGTCTGCTTTTAAGTATCTGGGTTGCATAAAACTGCTAGTGGACACGAAGTACAGAATTTATCCTTAGCTCAATAGCTAAGGTGATGGAATAAATAACTGTAAATATGGTGTATTGAAATGTTATTAGGATTAAGCAATCTGATTAGATTCACAAGACTGAATCATGCCTAATAAAAATAAAGCCTTCAAAATTGTTTGCCACTACTTTTATTACTGTAAATGATAAAAATAATGGCTATCACCATTATTTTCTTTAGTGGAAATGTTATAAGATTATAGGTAAAGAAAAGATAGAAGAGGTGATATTTAACCCTTAAAGGTCACCCTCGGTTTAAAGATTTCTCTGTGTGCTATTTGCTCAGGTCCACTTCTGGACAGAAACCCTGAGCAGAGTGATTACTCATCACTTTCTCTACCTAAACTTGAACTTCACAAAACAAACATGGAGAGGGAACACCTGTTTGGGCTGAGTCAACATGTTTGCCACCTGGTATGTGCAGCAGCCTCGTGTCTAGTAGGTCAAAGGTAGGGACAGAGAGAGAGAGAGAGGAAACACAACAGATTCTTTCTTGGATTGCATACCCTGGAGGAAACCTGATTCTGAAAGTATAGCTCAAAACATGCTTATACTATATCTAACGTAAACCAAGTTTGACAGAGAAAATTACAAGAACATTCCTCTAAACCCCACTCAACCTGGGTAGTAATACAAAACCCACCCCCATTATTGCATCCAGAGGCAGTATTCTAACAGGTCTTTCTAAGGCTGCTTATAAATCTTCGACTCAGAAATGTTTGAAATAGTCCATGTTATAGGTGATCTTCATTTCTCTTTTAATATTTTTATGATTCTACAGAGAATGATCTATTCTTGCCATTCTGTAGCCATAAATGTTACATATTGATGAAGCAAAAATACAGGTTATAGAGATTTAAATCAACAGTACTTACTTAATAAAAGAAAAAGGATAAAGAAGATGTGGTACATATACACAATGGAATATTATTCAGCCATAAGAAGAAAACAAATCCTATCATTTGCAACAACGTGGACGGAGCTAGAGGGTATTATGCTCAGTGAAATAAGCCAGGCAGAAAAAGACAAGTACCAAATGCTTTCACTCATCTGTGGAGTATAAGAACAAAGAAAAAACTGAAGGAACAAAATAGCAGCAGACTCACAGAACCCAAGAATGGACTAACAGTTACCCAAGAGAAAGGGACTGGGGAGAATGGGTGAGAAGGGAAGGATAAGGGGAAGAAAAGGGGCATTACAATGAGCAGACATAATGTAGTGGGGGGCATGGGGAAGGCAGTATAACACAGAGAAGACAAGTAGTGATTCTATAGCATCTTACTATGCTGATGGACAGTGACTGTAATGGGGTATGTGGTGGGGACTTGATAATGGGGGGAATCTAGTAACCATAATGTTGCTCATGTAATTGTACATTAATGATACCAAAAAAAAGTAGGAGACTTAAATACCTCAATATTAATCAATAAACTATTTTTGAAACACATTTTAAATCTACAGCCTTCATTTCTTGAAATAATCATAAGAATTTAACTGATGCTTGTGACTGCCTTTCTTCATTATCCATTCTTTGTTTTTCTTCCTTTCAACTAACCCTTTAACAGAAAAAGATCCCTGATGAGGAGCCAACATCTGTGGTCATCCTCTAATCTGTCCCTCCTCTTTAAACTGGTTGATGTACAAGCAGTGAAAGCACAATGGGTCTGCATCAATTTGGAAAAAAAAAGATCTGGTCCCTGAAATTATTATATACCTCCTCTTATAGGTGTAGTTTGGTGTCTGGTTTTTAGTGAGTGCCTTAGGACACATTATTTCACTGGTGTTACAAGATTAAACATTCAGGATGTATCAGTGATTATCCATGGCCAGGAGCTGGTCTCATAAGAGGCAAATCTCAGGCAAATCATATCACAGAAATTATGCCATGTGTACACAACTTCATGATTTGTTTCTACAGAAACTTTCAGAGCTGTTGAGCTGACAGAGGATGGCCACAGAAGGAACTGTCAGCAACCAGCAGCTCAGTAGAGACCATCTAGAGGCAGGGTCCTTGCTGTCAATCCTATTTGAAGAGTGCCTCTCTCCTGGTTTTATGGGAATTTTATCACAATAGAAGGGTCAGGGTAAAACTTCTTTCATCCTCATAGGATTATGGAGACATGTGTCTGACCATTTCATCTCAAGTAACTACTCACAGATTTCTGTACCCTGTGCCTCATTTTATTTACTAAGGTATCTGGAGTTCTTGCAGAACTATCCATTCTCTAAGGCCCATCAAATGTTGCTATTGAGGTAGCTGGTATTTTAAAGAAAGGTAACATTGTTGAAATTCAGGCAGACAGGTACAAGACCCAGAATTTAAGGCATTATTAACTCCTTCAACTCATCCACTAATAAAGGCTTTAGTTGGAATCTCAGCTTTGCCATTTGCTGTGAAATCTATGCAATGATTTTCAGCATCATTTTTTCATTTGAAAAATAAAGAGAAAAATAAGGATAAAATTTTAGTATTTCATAAGGCTACTGCAAAATATATTCAAAAGCATTGGGTAATATATATAGGAAAATATAAAAGCAAGTTGTTTTTATTTTCAGTAACTAGAGTTAAATTCCATCAAAAGCAATCAGAATGCCCTGAAGCTGCATGCCCAGAGAGCTGGATTGGTTTCCAAAGAAAGTGTTTCTACTTTTCTGATGACACCAAAAACTGGACATTCAGTCAAAGATTCTGTGTCTCACAAGGTGCTGATCTTGTTCAGGTTGAAACTCTCCAGGAACTGGTAAGAAAATAGTTATGGTTCAAATAAAAAATTGGTCCAACCAAGGCACTCTGTCATTCTATGCAAGAGTGTCTAAGATACAGGTTTAGACACCTAACTAGACGACTGATTTTTCAGCATAAGCAGAGAGGAAACCAGTAGGTGCTATATTGTGCAAGGGGCCATGTATAGTTACTTTAACACTCATAGCTAGAAGATGGCCAGAGAGCAAGCAAGTTCGTTCTTTGATTTATGAGCAAGAACTATGCAAATATGGATTAGAAAATTAAAGATGGGAACATGTTACACTTGTACAAAGTTAATAACATTGCTTCAAAATAAATCAAGCAGGATTGATGTCAGGAAAGATGGTGGAATAGGAAGCTTCTGGAATCTAAACAGCTTCTGTACCTCACCTAAACAACTATCAAAATGACAGAAATTCTCTAAAGTAACTAATTTGAAACTCTGTAGTCCTGCAGCATCTAAGGGAGTGTTTTATGAAGAGGCTGGTGAATTTCAGTTAATCTCAGTGAATTTCAGCATTCTCACTCAGTCAGGGCTACCTTCATAGCACAGAGCCACAGGGACTGCTGTCCATGGTCCTCATATAGCTTGTGGGGCCAGGGTGGGCAATGAGAACCTTGTTTTCCAAATGTTGGGGTTATATGCTGCTATTTCTGATTGCTGCTTTTCACTGCTAAGGGACAAGCACAAAGGCAGTCCACCATTGTTTTCAATCTCCACCAACTGAAGTGGTTTCCAGAGGATTTAAAGAAACAGTAATTATGTTTCCCCCTTGGGAGTCGGGCATATGAGAAAAACTTTGGCAGGTAATTGGCTGGCCATAAAGATAACAAAACAGAGATTTTGGTTACCATACATAATAAGGAATACACATCTTACAAAAATAGTTTGTAAAAGTCACAACCAGATGGCTCCAAACCTCAATAATCAAAATATAACAGTCCCCAAAGAGCAGAATTAGGTTTCCAAAGTTGCTACAACAAAATACTTGTAACATCTACCTCTCAATGAGAAATTGCAGGACACACAAAGGAAGGGATAGCCCATTCACAGGGTTATACAGAAAGCATTCCCAAGGGAGCTCAGACATTGGAAATATCAGTCAAAGATATTAAATCTTCCTTGTAAATATGTTCAAGGAGTTTAAAGAAGTAACAGACAAAAAAAACTAAAAAAACCAGGAAAATGACAAATAAAATAAGAGTATCCGCAAAGAGGTAGGAACTATTAAAAGGATAAAATAGAAATTGTGGAGCTAAAAAGTACTGTAACTGAAATGAAAAACTTATTACAGAGGTCAGCAGCATATGTGAAGAGGAAGAAGAAAGGATCAGCAAACTTGAATATAGGGCAACTGAAAATGTCCAGTCTAAGGAACAGAAAGGAAAAAGAATGAAAATAAACAGATCCTGAAGGGACTGTAGTATGTCACCAAGCAGACCAACATTCGCATTATAGAAATCTCAGAAGGAAGAGAAAGGAGTAGGGAAAAAAAATGAACTAATGGCTGAAAACTCAAATTTAACGAAAGACAGGAATATACAGGTCTTAAGAGGCTCAACAAACTCCAAGCAAGATAAGCTAAAAGAGAACCACTTTGAGACAAATTATGGTGTTGAAACCCAAAGAGAGAGGTTTGAAAGTAGCAAGAGAAGCAACTAGTCATATACATGGGATCCTGAACAAGATTAACTGCTGATTAATTTTGAGACACCATGGAAGTGAGAATGCAGTGGAATGGCATAAAGTTCTGAAAGAAAAAAAAGCATCAATCAAGAATTCAGTATCTAGCAAAACTATCTTTCAAAATGGAAGAAAAATAAGACATTTCTAGATAAACAACTGAGAGAGTTTCTTACCACTAGACCTATCCTACAAGCAATGATAAAGGCTGGAATTAAAGTATATTAGACTGTGACACAGAGCCAAAGGAATAAGGAACAGTCATAAAGGTAACCACACAAATATAAAATCCAGAATTACTGTACTTTTGTTACAGTTTGTGGTTCTCCTCACATACAATTTAACAGGTAAATTCATAGGGCAATAATTATAAATCTGGGCAGATAACATATACATATGCAATCTATGACAATAATACAAAGAGAGTGGGTTGGAGATATGTGGGGCAAAATTTCTGTACATTATTGAAACCAAGTTTACCTTATAAACAAGGTTGTTATCAATTTAATATGTTAATTGCAATCCCCAAGGTAACCACTAAAAAAATGTACAGAAAAGAAGGAAATCAAAATGGTACATTACAAAAAAATCAAATACAATATAATGCAGTAATAGAGGAATTGAAAAATAAACAACATATAAGACATGTAGACAACAGATAAATGGCAGGTGTAAGTCCTTCCTCATCAGAAGTTACACTGCATATTAAAAGGCACTATCCTATTAAAAGGCGGAGACTGGCAGATTTATTAAAAACAAGAGAAAATAAGATCCATCTATATGCTCTACAAGAGACTCATGTTAGATATAAGGACACAAAGAAGGTGAAAGTAAAAGGATGGAAGAAGATATTCCTTGCAAATAGAGCTGGGTGACTCTATTCTTGTTAGACAGAATAGACTAAAGCAAAAAAGTTTCCAGGGGACAAAGAAGGACATTACATACTGATGAGAGTTTTGGTTAGCAAAAAGATATAATAATTATAAACATTTATGTGTCTAATAACACAGTCCCAAAACATACAAAGGAAAAACTAACAGAACTGAAATGAGAAACAGTTCTACAATAATAGTTGGAGCCTTCAAAACTCCACTTTCAAAAATGGGTAGAATAACCAGACAGAGGAACAATAAGGAGAGGTCTTGAATAACGCTATAAACCCATTATAAACCCATTAGGCCTAACAGACATATGCAGAACACTTCACCCAACAACTGCAGAATACACATTCTTCTCAAGTGCATATGAACATTCTCCAGGATAGACCATATGGTGGCCATAAAAGAAGTTCATAAATTTGAAAAGATTAAAATCATACAAAGTTCATATTCTATCATCACAATGGAATCACACTAGAAATCATTAACAGAAGGAAAACTGGAAAAACCACAAATAATGTGGAAATCAAACAACCCACTCTTAAACATCTGATGATCGAAAAGGAAATCACAAGGGAAATTAGAAAATACCTTAAGACAAATGAAATGAAAACACAACATGTCAAAAGTTAAGTTATGTGGTAGAGGCAGTACTAAGAGGGAAATTTACAGCTTTAAAAAAATATCTAAATTCAATAAAAACACTGCATACCTTAGGGAATTGAAAAAAGAAAAGCAAAAATAAATGTCAGTTTTAAAACTTTAAAACCGTAAAGATTTCCCTAAGAAGGCTCTAAATCCATTAATCATAAAGGAAAATTATACATATAAAAATATTAAAATTAATACCTATAATCATAAAAAGCCACTCTAAGTGTTGACAGGAATGTGTAGCAAAGGGAAGTGGGCTTCACTGCTGTTGTGAGTATAATTTGGCACAATAACATTAGAAAAGAGTTTGGTGTGATTTGGTAAAGTTGACAATAGGCATTCACTGTGGCCTAATAATTCCATTTCAGGACAGGTGCCAAGAATGTCGTAACAGCATTCATAATAATTTCAAACTTGAATTAACCTTAGCATCAAACAACAGCAGAATAGATAAATTATGGAATAGTAATATAAAGGGGTACCATGCTGACATAAAAGCAAACAAGTTATCAGCAATTTCAGTTTTCATCCTCCCTATGTATGCATGGTCTACAGCATACCTACTCTCCATGTATTATTAAACAGTAGAAAATTAAAAAGAAGGAAATTTTAAGAGCAATTAAGAATACAGGATACAAGCAATATGTATTCTAGGAGAGGTCAGGCAATGACAGTTCTTTGACTACCATTTCTGTGTTTTCTGAAAGCATTTCCTATTGAGGTATAAAGGTCCCTCAGACCACTGGATTGGGCTGAGCAGAGAACAAGGCCAAACATGGAAATGGATAAATGGCACTGAATGGACTGAATTGTAAGTTATGAAAATTATGTCAGCAATATTTATATTTGAATTTTATTTGAATTTATAAATGAATTTACTTTAAATGTGTTCTCCATGCATGTGCTCTAAAAATTTAATCTAAGATTAGTCATAAATGAAGAAAGTGCCAATTTGTATGGTTTTTTTTTTTTTGCATGCTCCTTCAATCAATCCAAAGCCATGACATTTAGCAACTCTCACTTTAAGGAAACCGTACACCATCTATAAGTTTGTTATTTCTACAACTAAATTAATTGTATTTGCTCTATTGTTCTTTTTAAACTTTAAAATATAAAAATGCATGTTAAATTACTATATAAAACTACCATTGCATCAGTCTTCAGTAATTTACAGAGGGTTTATGAGTGATGGTAATAATGCCTATTATTTTTAAGATTACAGTTATAATGTTCAGGACAGGCAAAGTTTGGCATTTTTGAATTTAATCTTGATTGCATACTTATAGGATCTTTATGGGACTGAAAAGATTTTGGATAATGCTGGAAGACTTGGGTTCAGACAATTTCACTAAATGTTTGCTTGTCTGAGGAGATGAGGAGGTTCTGAAATACTGCTTTATGATGACAAAGTAGTCAACACTGGAAAAATATTATTTAGTCAAAATGGCATTGAGCTACAGGTAGTTTTGAAAAACAGTCTTCCCATTAGCTTTTTCACCTTGGACAGATGGTGAATTTTAGTACTCTTGTACTTGTAGTGCTCATCACACTGTGGATACTTGATATTTAGGATTAATCTTTATTTCTTCCTTTACAATACTGAAATAATAATATACTAATTCTCAACGTGTCTTAAGGATCAAGTATATTGACAACTATACAGTTGTTGAAAATATTGGAAATTCAAGTGTTTATGTGGAAAATATTATATTATTAAGGCCTAGCATATCTCACAATTAGCAAATTCTATCAGACTATAGCAATTTCAACCAGCTAACAGGAAAAATTTATCTAAATGCCCACCCAAATGTCTGTGTCAGGCCATTTCAACACAGCTGAATAGCACTGTAGTTTCAGTACTATAACTAGGGAAATAGGAAGATATGTTAAAACAAAGGACTTAGATAAAGCTCTGAAATTTTCAGTTATTTAAGGAAGTGGAATATTGCTGAAACTATGGAGAAAAAACAGATGTCTGACCTCTCCCACCAGCCAAGCAAGGCTTTGGATGTAGTTGAAAGAACACTATGCATATTGGTTCACTGTTCCTATAGCTGCTTTGCTGTATCTCCAGGTGACGAAAAGACTATTGGAAAGTCAGTGATTGATAACATAAGCCAAAAAAAAAACGAGGGCCTGTGACCAACAACAAAACTACCTGTAACTCAGCAGCATTTCTCCACTCCTTTCCTAAAATGAAGGTGGAAATAGCCTAGACCCTGTAGTTTCATCAGTCTAGGTATGAATCCCAGTTTTACTTGTTATAGGAAATTGGGGAATGCAGACTGTTTTCTTCTATAAAAAGAGATAATAATACTTACCTCACAGGATAATTTTTAATATTAAAGAGATGATATGTATAATTCATCTTATATTCAGAGGCCAAAGTAATGTACCCTTATTTTTTCATCTTTACTCCCTCTGCTCTTGAAGAAATGCCCAGTGGTCAACTGATTGACTCTGCTTCTTTCATTGCAGTTTTCCAATCAGAGGAGGAGGGGAGCATGCCTACCTGAATGACAAAGGTGCCAGTAGCGCAAGGCGCTACACAGAGAGGAAGTGGATTTGTTCCAAACTAGACACACATGCCCAAATGAGGAGGCGAAGCCCTAAGTGATCTTCAGACACACATTGTAAAATAACTGACCAATTGCTATCTCCAGTTATGCTTATCGACTTTTAAAAATTTTTTTCTAGTAAAACTGCTTTGCTTATATTTTAGTATTTTCATTTTATTATTAGGTATATAATCTTGAGCATAAAGTTGAAGGTCTGTAGTAGTTACTGTTTTATAATGAACAATTTGGGTTCGTACCTATGCATATGCCAGGTAAAAATCGAGATGGTGTATAGTGAGCTCTGCCTAGCTGCCTTCTTCTTGAGCTATTCTTTGTGGGCTTGCACAAGTCTGTGACCACTTGAGGGCTCAGCCTGGAGCTTCTCAGTCCTCCCACTACTCCTGGATCCAGAGGAAGAATGGGTATTCTGTTTTTGGATGGAATGTTCTGTATATATCTGTTAATTCCATTTGATCTGATGTGTTGTTCAAATTATAAGGATGTTTTTTTAGATGACATGTTAACAGTGGACTCTGAGTAAAGTAGATTGCCCTGCATAATGTGGATGGGCTTCAGCCAATAAGTTGTCAGGCCTTAATAAAACAGAGACTGGCCTCTTCCAAGTAAGAAGGAATTCTGCTGATGGCCTTTGGACTTGAACCGCAACATCAGCTCTTCTTTGAGTTTCCAGCCTAACAGCTTTTGTATCTGAACTGCAAAGCTCGCTCTTCCCTGGATCTCTAGTCTGCGGGCCTGCACACACAGAGTTTGGATTTATCAGCCTCTATAATTATGTGAGCCAATTTCTTAAAAGAAGTCTCTTTCTCTCTATATATGCATTCTATTGGTTCTGTTTCTCTGGAGATACCTAACACAGTAACTCCCTAGAGGATAAGTTTTTGACTAATGGGGACAGGAAAAAGGAAGAATCATAAGATACTTTCTCCATTTGGAAGAACAGACATTTGATAGTGGCTCTCGGAGGGCATCCAGAAATAATGAACAATCATTCAGCTTTTAAAGACAATTTAAAAAACTTTAAGTGAGGGCGGAGCCAACGTAGCAGCGTGAGTAGCACAGTGGGAATCTCCTCCCAAAAACATATATATTT